GTAACACACACGAGTATATATGAAATATTAGATTAAGAATAATGGAATCCTTTTATATATGGTGATTTAGAGTTTCATATTAACACAACACTACATCTAATTTCTTACATGTAGGAACTATAGATCAAATTGGAAACTATCTCTTTAAAAGTTTAATTGAAAAAATTACAAATCAAGATGAAGACTATCTTGTTCTTGGAAGGTCACCTAGATGCATCCTCTTCACCTATATTTGTATGAAACATTGAGTGATAAATCTATATTAACTTAAAAATTAATTATATGCTTAACCTCTCTAACTGTTAAATTTGGGACTATATTCACTCTTAAGAATAATTGCTAAAAAAATAAAAAATTATAAACTTTTAAAGAAAAATAAGTGAAATATATTAAGTAAATAAAATTTTAATTATGATAAGGTAATTTCAGTCTATTTTTCTGAAAGACTTTCCTTTTAAGTATTAGTATTTGTTACCAAAATAGATAGTAAGAGGTAATTTATAATATTATATATAAGTGTGAGAAACTTAATATGCAAATGAAGTTTATAACTTATATATATAAATATCTTGACAGTAAGAATGGGGTTTTGAGAAGGTTCATATATACTTATATGGTTCATAGGAGGGTGATAATGTTATAATCACTTCATTATTAAAGTAAAAATATTTAGTTCATTGTATTGGTTGGTGGGTCTTAAAAATTTAGATATACAACTTCAAGTTTATTCATAACTTGAGGAGTTATATAGTTAACATTAACACTGTTTTTTAAGTTCCTCTTTCTTCTTTGTTCTCTTCTCTTGTTTCTAAGGAGCCTATTATTTTTGCATTAGTGGAGAAACTCTATATCCTTTTATCTTGATTTCTAGGTTGAATGGTATTCATGCAAACAGCCTCAAAGCAAATCTACACTGGATGCCACTACTAATATGGCAAACACACTTATTGATTTGGAACAAATGGCACTCAAAGCTTATAAAGTTTTAAAGATAAGATTACTCAAGAGATTGGGAAGTTATTTGAAAGGCTCTTTTGTCCTTTTGTTTTTCCTAATGATCTTTATCTAGTTTGAGAAGTAATGCTAAAGATTGTTTGGTAAAAGCATTGCTAAATATCCCTAATGGGCATTTGCAATCCACAATTTGGATGATAGAGAGGGTATAGCAAGAGCCCAGGTTTGAGCTTGCTAGTGACTGCTATTAAACACTCTTTTATTGTGGAGTATTTCATCTTTACTCGTTATAAGATGATATTGATTAAACACACTCATACTTTTTTGCATCAACACACCTTTGAAATTAATATTGAAAACATTCATATGTAAAATGTAAAGTTTAGTGTAGTAAATTGAAGGAGCTGTCAACACTTCTTTGAGATATAAAAATTCCCACTTATAACCCTTTACATGTACCCAACAATTATAAGACCTAGAATATAATATAAGTTATCAACCTAGGCCTACTATGTGTCTATGTTATGCTGTTGTGCCTAGTGGAGGGAGATCAAATGCTAGACTTTAAGGACACTAGTAATGGTTAGCCTGCTGCCTCTATTGTCTTTGTCTTGCTGTTTGGAATATTGGTTGTGGTTGCAGAAACTTATACTTACATCTATGAGAGATCATAGCAATTGGAAAGCATAATTGTAACTTACTTCTTTTAGACACTGGAATGTGGTAAAGGGCTCATTGTGAGCATCATACATAAAGTTGATTTACAAGTCTCTATGATGGCCTTCCCCTCTTAGAATAACTCTGCCTAGAATGGGAGATGTGGTGAAGAAAATGCTCAAGCTTAGCCATTCCAGATTGTCAATAGCTTATTTCAACACTGTTGACTATATAACAACAACTTAACTTGACAATTGAAAAGGTGTGATTAGGGATAACCTTCAAAAACTCCTTGACAACCACATCTACATTGTACTCTTTGAGTGTCCATGACTGGTTTGAATTTTAGCATAGCTGAACATACTCTATCAATGTTCATGTGTCTGAGAAGTTGAAGAAAACATGTTCAAGGTCTCAACAAGCAAGCCAAGGCTGATGCTAGTGAGTAAAGAGCCCTAGAAAAAGAACATCAATGAAACAATGAGAAACAATTAATTAAACTTGAATGAGGCATCCTTATTCTTTGACAATTTATGCTTTGAGACCTCACAAATCAGAGTGGAAAAGGGAAGAAAGCTTTTTCCCCATAAGAAGAAGAAGAAACAAGAGATTTATTCCTTATTTACAAACTTAAGAGAGTATTCTTAAAATCTCTTTCCTCTCCCTCCCAGCTTCCAAGAAAATACTAAAGTTCAAATCATTTTTCACTCCATACCTTTGGCACTGAGGCGCAAGTGAAACTTTTGGCCATAATAGTGGTAGAGTATGGGCCAGAACATATCCTCTCCAAGAGCTTTATAGACCTTTTCCACTCTAGTTCTTACCTGTAAAGATCATAATGGGTTTTCCTTTGTAGGTCTTGCAGCTTAGAAACAAGAAAAAAACTGTCATTCTCCTAGAAAATGAGAGATAAAACTAAGTTGGGAAATTTACTCTCCAATCCTCCCATAAAGGAGGAGCTGCAAAGACACTATATAGAGCTATCAAATCCTTTCTTAGACATATATCCTATAGACTAATGTTAAATATTTTTTGCAAAAAATATTTAATATTAAACATTATATTATAAAAGAACTAAAGAAATTTTATAAAAGTTTAGTATAAGAAAATCTTGATTAGATTGAAGAATATTCTAATACTATTTATTATACCGTTAATTTCATTTAACAATTGCTAGTCTTGCTCACAAGTTTGAGGATTTCTTTTCTGATATTTTTATGTATAACTTTTTCTTTCACATTGAAAGACATGGAAAGTGTGTAATATATGTTAAATATTTAATATAGAAAAAATATTTTTGGTTCTTTTATTAAATCTAAAACATTCTATGTTATAATAACACACAAAGTGGTATTATATGTGGGAAGTCACCTAATGTGGCTTCAAAGAAGCTAGTCAATAGGAAAAGGTTTGGCATCTTGTCTTAAAATGAATTTTGCTTCACTAGTGCATAGTAGGCAACTCTAGTTTTATAAGGGAGCCACTTGGGAAATGGAAAGGCCATGATACTCACCTTTTCACGTTTGAAAGAATTTCGCTTAAATTCTTTGCATTGTACTAGTTTAGACATTAGGGAATGTATATCCATATATTAAAAGGAGATGAGCATATAATAAAATTTGTTCTAAAATCTATTTTTACATCAAAGTTTTAAATCTATTTTTGCACAAAAGCTTTAATTTTTTTCTAAGATGGATAGGCTTCTTGTCAGATACCAAATACCCTATAATAAATGTTGCTAACTTTGAACCATGACAAAAAGATGTATCTAGAACACTTGTTAAAATGGTTTTTCCCAAGGAGAAGATGTTGCTTATGTGGTGATCTGTGTGCTCACTTGTGCTCTTAACACCAATGGGGTTGACTGGCATAATGCCCTAGTTGTAAACAGACTGCAAAAACTAATATTCAGACTACCACCGAGAGTGTGTTTCACTTCTTCTAAGGTAATTATCTCCTCTCTATCCTCATACCCATCTGTTTCGCTTAATATTCATTTCTCTTTGATAATCCAACAAGGCTGTGCAACTTGATGATGTGTGATCCAGCTTTTCTCTTTCCTCTCCTTTTGCTTCTTTCATGACCTTGGCTATTCACTTGATGCACTTTTGGCCTGCTTGTCTCCCACCACCTGCTGTGTCCTCTCCACCACAATGGCTGAGGCTCCACCACCGCCATTGCACACAGCTGCAACACCAACCTGCTTGTCCCTGCTCCTCAGATTGTTTATGAGCGACACCATAATCCTGGCTCCGGACGCACCAATCGGATGGCCCAATGCAACAGCGCCGCCGCAAACGTTCACATCGTCGTTAGAGATCCCGAGCAGCTTGCAGTTGGCCAAAGTCACAACCTGTAGACACAGCAAAGCAAGAAGGAAAGAGCACTTTGATATTATCAAGACTGAGGAGAAACTTACAGAGAATGCCTCGTTAATCTCGAACAAGTCAACGTCGTTGAGCTTCCGACGTGCATGTGCTAGAGCTCGAGGAATTGCCACGGCCGGACTGGTTGGAAACTTTTCTGGAGGCTGACGAAGAAGAAAAGGACACGAAGGCTACCTCAGCACTGGAAACAGCACATCTTTTTACTAGTTGCGTACCTGAGCTGCGTCCGCAAAGCCCCGGATGGTAGCAATCACCGGCAGTTTGTTCTTCTCCGCGAACTCTGCGGAGGCCAGCAAAAGCGCCGCCGCTCCATCGCTTATTTTCGACGAGTTGGCAGCAGTTACCGATCCATCGGTCTTGAAGACCGGCAGAAGCTCCCGCATTTTATCTGGATCAAACTGGCATCAAACAAATAGAAAAAGCGTCATCTATGAAACACATGAATGAACGAATGAATTGAGAAGAGAAAAAATACCCGGGAGCACTCTTCATCGATACTGACTAGCACGGGTTCCTTCCCTTTCTTACCAGCAATGATAACTGGCGTCACTTCCGCGCTCGCGGTTCCTGCTTCTCGAGCCGATATGGCACGCTCGTAGCTCACGATAGCGTGAACATCCTGGTAAAACGAGTTTTAGACAAGACACCAAGAAAAATGAAAAAGAGAAAAAGTAGATGGCAAACCTGTTCTTCCCTTGAGATTCCCATTTCCTGAGCGCAGGATTCAGCATAAGTTCCCATCGCATTGTTCGTGAAGGCATCAGAGAGACCGTCACAAAACATGCTGTCCTTTACAGTCAAATCTCCCATGAGCTTCTTTGAAGGATTCTGGCGTGGAAGAAGAAATGGAGCATTCGACATGCTTTCCATTCCGCCAGCCACGACGAGCTCATTTGTTCCCAGTGCGATGCTCTGAGCAGCTAGCATCACCGCTGTCGAAAACGAAGGAAACACTTGTTCACAAACTGTAACAAAGATAAGAAAACTACTCCAAACCTTTCATGCCGGAAGCACAAACTTTGTTCACAGTTGTGCAAATGGTCTTCGCTGAAAGCCCAGCACCCTGCAAAAAATCACAGATGAGAACCTGTCAGCGAGAGGAAGAAACTTGGATCTCCAGTTCGATCATCACAACCATAATTTGCATCAAGACGAGCGAGAATTATGATCGTGAAGAGTGAAAGAGAAATACAGGATGAACGGACAAGAGCAGCTTGGCGTGCCGGCGCTTGGCCAAGTCCGGAGCTCAGCACATTTCCCATGTACACCTCTTGCACTTGCTTTGGATCGATCTTACTCTCTTCCACAACGGCTGCAAACAAATCAAACACTCACAAGTTCTTTGCCGGACTGAAAGAATTTCCCAGCATACCTTTGATGGCCGCTGCGCCGAGCTCCCACGCTCTGAGCGGCGAGAGCAATCCCTGGAAGGCGCCAATTGGGGTCCGCTTGGCAGCTACCACCACCACATTCTCCAGGCGCTTGGCCGCGTGCTGCAAGCTCGATTCGGCCTGGGCGGAGAAGCGGCGGCAGCAACCCAGTCGCCCCATTCCCCACTACAAACTAAGAACAAAATAAGAACCCTAAATTCCAACAAAATATACAGAAGTTAGAATCCTCTTATCTACAATTCCTTGCTTTTCTCACACAAATCATCTGGAATTGGAGCTACTAGCAGAGAGAGCTGATGCTTTTCATGGGTTTTCTCGTGCTGGAAGTTGTGATCGCCTAAGAAATGCGATGGCAATTGATAGGACACGAGCGATGCCTGGATTTGCAAGAACTTGGCGCGCTCAATCACAACCCTGTACATGGCTTCCAGCGACTCGGCATGCTGCTGAGCTCTCGATT